TTAGAAGGACTTATTAATACGTAACTTGTGATACCTACATATTGGCAACAAAGGAGGTAAAGGTGATCAACATCTAGGCCACCACACTAATATAGTTGACATTCTGCCAAAGGTAAAACCTCTTACACTGTGTTGCCATATTTGTTTAGACATACTCCTTATCTTGTAGATTTTCCATTGCCCCTAATGGGTTAGTGCATTCTTCTACTTGAAAAGGAAAAAAATAAAATAAAATAAAGTGATATATGACTATAAATCCCTATATCTATTAGGCAACTTTATCATAAAAGGATAAAAATTTTCTAAGAATATTTTTAGCATGCTCTACCCATAATATAAAAGATCTATCTCTAAGAAAAATCACTCCAACTTCATTGTAAGCCAGATATACTTCGTATATATCTTCTATGGCTTCTATAAAGTCAACACATGTGCCTCCATGAAAATGCTTAGAAAAATGCCTAGGGTACAAATTCTAAAAGTATAAGTACTAGGCCTGAAACAATTTAAAGCAAATTGGATCCAAAATAATGATGTACAATTACAGTAATCTCCAATATTAGTTCCAATTTTAAGTTTAAATACAAAGGATAGATGGTGATCAAAATGATTTTGCATATTGAATGAGTATTACTTTTAGTTCCATAACTATATTTTAAATATTATTAATTATAATATATAGAAGGAATTAAAACAGCTTAACTTTTGATTATATGTTTTGACCTTTTTTACTTACATATTTTATATTATTATAAAATTTTAATTATTAAATTATATTTTATTAGTTAATAATTTATTTAATATAATACACAAAGTCAAAATTCAATCATAGTGTTTATATTTATTGAAATAATAATTTATTAAAGTCTTAAAAATCTAATATTTCATCCTAATAATAACATTTAAGGATATAAATGCTTGGGTTATGGGAATAGATATATTAATAGTGGTTTAGACCTTGCTTATATACACGAATGGATAAACTAAATTCCTTTCCAAATAGATAATCCATATGTTATATTACTATGTATTACTAGTGTAGAGCAAAAGCAAAAAGATAATCTTAAACACTAAGCAAAATACTCAAAAATCTTTACTTTTACAATTTATAGTACCCCTCACCTCCACCAATATAAGTGCTCAACATATGAGAATAAGTATATTCATTGAGATTTAACATCCTACTTATATAAAGAAATAAATTTAGTTCTAAATGGACTGTTTATATATTGTACTACTATAATTAGTATATTAATTCTAATACATACATACATACATGTATAGAGAGAGAGAAAGAGAGAGAGAGAGAGGACAAAATTTATAAGGATATTAAAAAAAACATAAACTTAGCTACAACGTTTTAGAATTTTTTAAAAATAAATAGAAGTTCAAAATGTTCAAAGCTTTTGAAGTTTTACAACTTATAAATGCTAATAATCCTTTTTAACTTACAAAAATGCAGCAGCCACTATTATTATTCAACACTATCTTAAAGAAAGAACTATATAGCTTAATTTACTATGTGTTACATTGCAATAATACCATATTTTCTTATTTATAATTTATATATTTTTTATATAGATTATTTTATTACCTTTTATCCAGATAAAATCTTTTATTTTTCTGTATTACTTAGGGTTTTTTAGTATTTTTAAATTTATTTTTTTATTATTAGTTTTTTCTTGCTTTTTATGTGTTTCTAGTAATATATATGATATTGCTAATATTTATATTTTCAAATATTCTATTTTTTCTGATTTTTATGTGTATTTATAATATTGCTATATGTGTATGTTCACTTATATATGTTTTTATATGCTATAACAAATATTTTACTTTAAAATAATCATCCTAATTGTTTAGAGTATGTGTTCTTTATAATGATCCTAATTGTTTCTGTTATCCTTCAAGAAATATTACAGACTGAAGTTATGAAGAATCTTATTCTTACTAAATAATATGAATTACATGTGTAATAATGAAAAACATTCTCGAGATATTCTCAGAGAACAAATAGTTTGTTTTTTGAGCCAACCTTTGGCACTCAATCTTTGCCACCCAGTCCAATTTCCAT